ACTGCTGCACGTTTTTCAACGGTCCGTACTCCGTGGACGTCGTTTCTCACTCACTTGTTATGTCTGTAGTGTGGGTGTGTAGATTGCTGGCCAGCGATGACGGGATTCTGCAGCGGGTGGGGTTTTTCGGTGCCGAATGAACGGACTGTTCACAGTGGATGCCGGTGCTCGACGGTTGTCACCGTATGGCACGACGGATGTTGCACTGGGGCTCGATCGGGTGATCGACGGTGGTCTCTCGGTGGTCGTCGGTATTTTACCGATGGACGCTTGCTACACGAATGTTGGCGTGTTAACGGACGCCCTCGTGGTTTAACCCGTGTCAGAAATACCGGGTTTCCGGGATGGGTATTTTACAAAAAATCGCAGCTTGCTCTATGACCAGCACAATCGGCACACCTGCGGCACATCTGCGGCACACTTGCGGCACAGTTAAAAGCCACAATCCGACAAATTATTCCAATTAACACCAACTCGCAAAACATCAACAATTAGCAAAATATCTCTTGCTAATGTATAGATATTGAATAAGCTAGTTCTAAGATTAAGTGTATTTTTCAACCAATTCGAGTATGAATATGGCTTAAGTCTGGTTTTGAAAATTGGTGCACAGGCAAAAAGTGAGGTTACGGGATGCCCCTGGGTTCATCGATTGTCACATCCACATAACATTTGCATGTTGCAGTGCGAATGCTGTTGCGGATGTTAATATTCATGCAAATGGAAATATTATTTACGGAGTAGGTATTCCTGATCTGAATGCGTAGAATTAATTGAATGATGATTCATTCAAAATCCTTACTATTTCCGAACTGATAACAGAGCGAAAGGCCGATGATCTGATTCCTATAAACAATTAGCGGTACACAGCTAAAAAAAGTGGTGTAAATTTCCGTTACTATGATGCACATAAATGGAGCGTCGTAAATCATACAAGTTTAGATTATAGATCGTGTAAATTTATGAGACATGTCATGCAGTATTTCATATATTGTATGCAACTGTCCTCTTTTGTTTGCAACATTTCTTGCAAGCTGTTAGTTTACGTGAAAAGGAAGTTTACATGTATGAATGTTTGCATGCATGGATGTTTACATCGCCAGTTAAATTCAGAATTTTTTGGTGTGTAGATTATTCACACTCCATCTCTAGCATTGACCTGTATTGAAGGATATTTTTTTTAGTTGGGAACAAACAAACCTTAGCAACGGGTAAATCGATTAGAAAAAACTTCATCGCTCAACAGTGTTGCCGTTTTATATAAAATTGTTTGTGACATACTTGCCGAGCGTGCCGAACAGTGTGCCATGCTGAGTTTCGACACAGTGTGCAGAGTTGATTACCCCTTGCCGTGTGCAGTGTTCTCAAACGTTTCCGTGTGCGGCATCCCGAGCAAAGTCCAGCCTCAAAATGACAACAAATTGAAATCAAGTTTTGATATCAACATCAAACTGAAATACTAATTTGCTTTCAGTTCATGCAATTGATAAATTTTGTTTTCATTTTCTGTACATTGGCTCTTCAAAAATATGTTGTTGCGGGTTTATTTTCATTGCCTTAGCATAACATCAAATTGAATACTTGTTTTGTTATCAACAGGAAAAATTGATATCAAATTGAGTTTTCAGTTTGCTCTCACTGATAGCAGAAATAGTTTTCAATGTGATGTCACAGGATTGATATTTTAACCGATCAAAACGATAGCAACCTGAGCAATCATTATCAGTGAAATCACAACATCAAATTTAGATTTCAATTTGACCTCAGACTTTGCTCGGATCATAGTAAGCGTCGTAGCAACATTAGCAACCACATAATACGGATTCTGATAGATAATCACATGAAGAATTCAGGACAGTCCCAGAGGGATTCTGGACAATCCCTAGAAGACTTCGGACAATCTCTGGAAGGATTCCAGTCAATCGAAAAGGGGATTTATGACAGTCTCCGGAGGGACTCCGAACTAGCCTAGGGGTGATTCCAGACAATTATCCGAAAAGATTCCTTCTGGGAAACCGAACAGGGATTCTCGACAGTCAAAAGGAAGATTTCAGTAAAAATTGAGGGGCACGCATGACAGTCCAGAGAGGATCCCAAACAATCGCAGAAAGGATTCCGTACAATACCATGGAGATTCTAGACAATCTCAGGGAGGACTACAGTCATCCCAAATTGAGGATTCTGAACAATTCTAAGTAACATGACAAAAAAAGAGATGAAGAGATTCCTGCATCCCTTAGACGATCGCTCATGGAAGTGTCGGAATAGAATCAACTATGAAGTTGGCCAATACTAAACACCAGCGATGAAAAATTAACCCGTTTCTGATCACAATTTTCAACTGTCTATTTCTAAGAGTATCAGGGAACGGAAGTTTCTAGTGACAGTTGACCATTACTCTGACCTTTTCTAGTAAAATATTCTCGGAGATTTATATCGATCTTCCATTATGAAGCTTGTAAATGAAATTTTGCTGGTCACTGTACACCTCAATTATAAATAATTAGTCATGTTGAGTTTCCTCATGCCAGAAACTAATTCCACAGAACAAGAAGCCTCTTACATCGATTTTGAGAGGTTGAGTATTAATTTTCATTAGCTTAAATAATCTTCTCATAGTATTAGGTCAAATTCCAAACTTCTTTGGACTTGAAATCACACCACCACATCCCGAAAAACTTCGAAGATCATCAATCCCTAGAAAGCAAAAGAGGCCCCTGGCCTGGACAAAAGCTATGTAACTTGGATCTTTTAATAATGAAAACTTAATATTGCCATTTCATGGACATGGCTAACATGAAGCTTTAGTGTGATAATTTATTAGCTAGAGAATGATCTTTAGAAGAGAGTAGGTGTATAGTTCTGTTAGAGTACGGCAGCATGAAAATTGAATAGAAGTTGAAAATGAGCGAAGGGCCATTAATGCGACAGTTTTTAAAGTTAGACGCACATCTTTTGCCTAACCCGTACGATGTACGCGGAGACTTGAAGTATGTCTCCAAGTCTACAGGCAAAAAATGTGCGTCCTTCTTTTGCTCATAAACTGACTGCGGCTGTGGAATAGTTCTAGCGACGTTTTCATCACTACCTAAAGCCCCACGTTGCGAGAGCATTTCCAGTCGATGGTGTGTTATAATGCAATTCTTCTTTACCCAACTATAAACACAGTTGTACCTGCTTTACTACCAATCCCCAGAGAGCCAAAAAATTCAAATTTGAGAGAGAAAATTTGCTCTCACTAGTTCAAATTCTCAACATGCCATGTATTTTGATGACACTCTATTTGCGATTTCGCTCTCACAGACTACAAAGTAGAGTACCTGACACATTTTGATTAACATCCAAAGTCCCTCCTTTTTTACATATTCTGTACAATATGTACTTTCTGCCCCGCCCCATTCATAGCAATCGGTGGGAAATCCTTGAAGAGAGAGCTATTTTGCGTGCAGACTGAGTAGGGACTTCAAATGTCAATCTAAATGAGAGGTACCACTGCACTGTCCTCTGTGAACAATTAACGGAAAACAGATTATGTTTAGTTTCCGATAGATGGCACCGCCAACAACAGCAGTGACATCTGATGGAAAATGAATGCAGCAGCTTAACGAAATAATTCATTAGCTTTCAAAGTGCAAAAACCTGCCCTTTGGTTCCGTTAGGGTAAGGGCGCGTTCTTTCAGGTTGGTCAAGGCAGATTTCATGTGTGAGTAAGTGATGACATTGGTCATTGCTGTGTGCAGTTCACTTTAAAAGGTCCATTTCACCACTTGTAGTTCCAAAGAGCCTGAATGAAATATGGCGCTGGCGAAGATCACTTTAAGATTCGATATCACGGATCATTGATAATATTTGTATAAAACACAAGTAAATGCTTCCAGAAATTAGTTCAGAGAACATATGTCAGTCATCAAATTTAATGTTGCAATGAAGTACTTTAAATCGTATAAAACAGCAAACAAGGCTATCTTCCATTTAATTCCACTTAATTAGTTTTGGTATCTATTTATGACAGATACGTATTTCGACTACAATGTGCAGTCTTCATCAGTGTTATTCCCTCTAAAGAACTTGTCAAAATCTAACCCCCTTAAGTACTCATCCTCTAGGTAAACATGTCAAGATCACTACAATGTGTAGAATCGGAACCTACCTAACTAAAAAACCAAGATTTAAGTAAAGTAAAAGAGAAAAATCTATACAACTTTATGTGACAACTCTCTAATAATGCAAAATTCCCAAAGGCGGAATGCTTAAATTAAATAGTAAAAAAGATTATCTTCCATTTAATTGATTTTGGTATCTATGACAGATGCACATTTCGACTACAATGTGCAGTCTTCATCACTGTCATTCACACAAAACCTAATTTCATTACTTCATTATGATGGCTACCAAGCCTTTGGGAATTTTTCATTATTTGAGAGTTGTATAGACTTTTCTCCTTTACTTTACTTAAATCTTTGGGTTTATTTTGAGTAAGGTAGGTTCCGATTCTACACATTGTAGTTAAAAGTGAATTGATTGGATTGATTTTCTAGAAAGTGAAGAAGACAAAAATTGTGTGTTGCCAAAAACGTTTTGTGATGCTATTTGGCCTAATGGCCAAACACCGAAACTTTCGAACCATCCTGAAGACTGAATAGCCAATCACCAACCTCAACATAAGTTTATCTTAGTCGGAATCTTTGGTTATAATTTGAATTTTCTAGAGCACGAATATGGAGTTTTAATAACTTATTTTTATTTTAGATTTAGGGATTAGCAATTTTCTAGAGATCCCATTTTTAACGTTTGTTCAGGTTTTTGAAAGCTTATAAAATTGCAAATTTTCATGTTTTTCAGGATTTGTCTAAAGATTTCAAAACTTTGATCGTAGAATATAAATGGGAGAATATCATTCGATAGAACAGTTGGTCTAGTTGGAATGCATTGAAGTGTAGCTACACATGTGTAATCCAATGATGGTAGATTTGAATAAAATGATGAAAATATGAACTTACTGAGTCGTCTTTTTTGTTCGGGTCCGGTTGAATGCGAGTCTAAAACGAAAACGCATAATAGGTTAAACTTTGACCAAATTGGTGATGCATGTTATTATGCAAAAAATAGTGCATATAAAGTATAGTATCAACCAAAGGTATGTAACGTTACTGGTTGGTTTGTTAGTCTAGATTTAGAGGTCCAAATTTATGTCTGATAGTCTAAGTCTATTCAAAATGGTCGTTCATAAAACATTCATTGCATTTGCCACACAGTATACAAAGTCAGATAATCTAAGACTTAAAAAACTCTGTACTAGCTAACTTTAAAAGTATTCTAATCAACCCTTAGTGGAGGTCAGACATACCATTAACTTTCGAATCACGTACGTTCCGCGTAGCTCTAATCGCTCTAAAAGATAGTGTTCGAACTCAGCCACCTTTTCGGGCGGGGATTCTCATTAATCGCGATCGAAACTAATTAATTTACTCACAAAACGCGCGCGGGCAGCGCGCAAAATTGCAACTTCCTAAGGCCCTGTTCAGCAGCCACTTAACGGCTTAACATCTCTTCCCAGAAGTGCTAGAAAAGAAGCTGGAGATTCGTTTCCCATTTCATTCACCGGGACGGAGGAAGCAGCAGGAGGAAAGCGCGAACAAAAAGATTAATTAATGTGATCGGAAAATGGCCGAAACGAACAAACGAATCGAAGAACATGGCAAGAAACCATCAGAAAATGAAATCAGTGATAACCTGTAGTGCGAGCGAGCGAGCGCGCGCTCGCTCGAGAGTAGCAGAATTTATTGTGTCGAATAAAATCACAAATTGGCAGCTGAATTGAAAGAAATAGCCGAGGAGAAAAACCCCGCAGAATTGCCGAAGAAAGTTCGGCCGAAGAAAGCTCTCGCTTTGGTAGAGTTCGTACCTGGATACGTGCCGATTGAAAAGATGTTCTCTCTTCAAGCGACGACGACGACGACGACGACGACGACGACGACGACGACGACGACGACGACGACGACGACGACGACGACGAACGACGGTGTGAAGAGAAAGCGCACGCTAAAGAATAATCAAATGCGGATACATTAGCGCAATGCTCGAACCAGTGCATGACTCACTCGCACTTGCTTGATTGCTAGACCGGCCATCGCAGGGGAATGCATCTCCGATTGCTGCGATGGCGCTGATTAATGCTGACTTGCTTTTCTGCGTTTGGCCAAAATCGGGTTGATGGAGTGAAAAAGAAGCTTTCGAGTCAGCGCAGATGGTAGATTAATAAGCGAGCGCAATCATTTCATCATCATCTTCACCGCCGAAAAACTTGGCGAACACACGGGGCGAGTTGATTGAGTAATGGTTCGAAAATTTGAACCACTACCTACTGATCCGACTGACGGCTGACAACAAGCACCACGTGTTGGTAAAATGAGCCCTTTATTGCTGTTGCCTTGTTTTCTAGTGGCAGGTGAATCGATGGGAGTTTCTAGGAACTTTTAAGGTTCGATTAAATTTTTCAAAAAGAAATAAGACTGCGTTTTTTTTTTGTTTCGTGAGAAACAAACACATATCGTAGAAGTTTTATTTCTGAGCTGGATTCAGGCTTGTTAAGGGTTCGGTTAGTGGAAGCTCGACTACAACAGAAGAAACCGTTCTCACAGTGCGTGAGAGATGTAGAGACTGTAATGGTTCTAGTTTGAGTCGGGCCTAATTAACCAAAGAGGAGGAGAATAAGAGCTTGCTTTGCTTGCGCGAACCGGGCTTTGATTTGCAAGGGATCCGTTAGGAAAATAGACACCGCTTGCCGTTCCCGCTGCTGTGTTGATTTGCGAACGGTTGATAAGTTATGGGTATAACAGGATTAAAGTAACAGGTTCGATTGCAGCTATTTGAAGGAATGAAACTAATTTATGTTTAAGAGAAATAGTTGTTAATGGTTTTAAGTGAAGATGGAATCATCTTCATGGGTGTTGTTGAGGGGAATTATTTTGTAGATTACAATTACTGGATGTTTGAAACGTTTTCGATGATCTGCTTGACCGGTTTCAAAGCAATTCGGCTCAAAAAATCTTCCGATTTCATTTAACGACACGGCCTTTTGAAGCTCGCTGAACGGTCGACAACCAGTTGAAATGAGAAGCCAACAGCAGCAGCATCTTCATCTGAACCTTTTTCCCCAGCAGATTGGAATTTTTTAATAAATCCACTAGTGGGTAGCGTTAGGAAACAATTATCATTGTTGCCCCGTAAGCCATGATACTTCATTCAAAAATTGTCCCATGTTTTCCCTTTTTGCGCCCTGCTTTGTATGCGTCTATCACTGACAGTTAATCTTGACGTTTGCCTCGTCGTCGTCTTCATTAGATGCCGCTACACTCTGCAGTAGAGAAATTCTCATCTCACCCCATTATTGCTTGAAGTTTTTCCGTCTTAAATTAAAAATTTAATTTTCTTCACCCTCTCGAAGAAGTCGGCGGAGCTTCATTATTGCCATATCATTGTGCAGTTTTCCATTTTTGTTTTCTGTCTGAAAGCCGCAGCATCAAGTCTGTGTTTTGTTTGTGTGTCTATTCTCTAATCTACACGTTGTTGCGGAGTCGGTGATGGATTCATCAAAAGTACCAGGCAACATCAGCAGCTGCAGCTCAGAGCCGTATGAATTCATTTTTAGTGCTCGCGTGGATCTTTATTGGAAAATTTATCAGCAAATGAGATTTAATAATGGGAGAAGCGCTCTGAATGGTTGCTGGCATGAAAGCCCAAAGGAAGCCAAAGTGCTGCGGGTCTTGGAACGCGGGAGAAAAAAGTTTCACTTTTCATCCGATCAAATCTGGGTTTCCAAGCGACCATAAAGGAGGTGAAGAATATTTTTTGATGCATTGTCAGTATGTGAGCGATCGTAAAGATGGGGTGGAAAATTGGAAAATTACCCCCTTCATTTAACGATCGATCTGAGTCAGTCAGAAGCCATTGTGGTGCAGCGGCTATTACAGAGAAAGACGTGACTGAACCAAGGATTGATCACCACAATTTATAAATCTTCGATCCAAATTATCCGGCTCTTTATCATACTTCGGGCCATACAACTCAAAATGTTTCAAGAAATGTTAATTTATTTAAGAAATTTTCATTTATTGTTGTTAGTTATTGATGCATTTCCATTAGTTTTGATTTATACTTCTCTACCAAATTTGTAAACTTGTCACAAATTTGTTCACAGCGGATTTTCTGAGGATTTTATTTCGCACTAATTATAAAACTCTCAAAATATTATGAGGCTGTATTTTTAAAATAGGTTCTAGGCAGCCCATGCAAGCTTGGTGCTTCAACATTATGTTCATAACGTAAACTCAAAGAAAAATTTTAAACGAAAAAGACTATTGGCACCGTATTTAACCAGATGTTTGCACAGACTGAACACTTAACACTAGACGACGGACAACACACAACACACCACACCCAGTACACCAGTAGGGAAATTTTCGGATTGCGAAAAGTTCCACCGGCTGGAGCAGGAATCGAACCCTTACTTCGTGGCACTCACAATAAGTCTGAACGACGGCGGAAACCGCTAACCGCACCCAATGAGCTGGATTACCAAGGTGAAGCAATCGGTTAAGTTGTGTGAGTGAAACTCCTGTACGAAACAAGTAATTAACATCCATACCTCTCACGCCAAAGTCATGAGTTCAAATCTCACCCCGGGACAAGTCACGAATGACCCAAGAGTGTTAAAGTGACTATAAAAAAAAAGTTTACTGTCTACGGCAAAGTTGTTCAGTGGATCAAGACCTAAAGGTTGGTGGACAGAAGTTTGGAATTTTTTTCTCACTACGCGGCACTAGTCTTCATGTACCGTATGCGTGATAATGTTTGCACCATCGTACAAATAAGGTTCCCGTTTCACCTGTGCACACAATGCCTTGGTTTTCTTTGCATGCACGTAACCTATAGTCCATACCGTGGTAGGCTGTGTATAAAAGAAAATTATTTACTTAGTTTGACAGTTGCACCATGACGAAGTGGCAGCGTATTCGTGATTTGTCCCACGCGCAAATGTCGCAAAAAGACACTTCAATCGCCGTAGGAGTGTCCCGGTGAACCGTCAAAAGGGTTTTAGACCGAGAAAAGAAAGGACAACTATCCGCGAAGGTGGCCATAGGTCGTCCGAGGTCAGCTCGGGTTCCGAGGGCTATCGCTGCTATCAAAAGGAAGATTCGGGTGAATCCAGTGCGTTCAATTAGGAAAATGGCAAAGGAACACGGGATCAGTCACTTTACGGCACGGAAGGAAGATTGCGGGGACAAGTCGAGGGCACGGAAAAAAAAAACTCATATGATTTCCAACCGCATCCGGGAGCTACGAGTCGAACGATGCAAGAAAATCTTGAACTTCCTTAAGCGAAAAAATCCGGTTATCCTGCTCACCGACGAGAGCATGTTTCAAATTCCAGAACCGACCGGTATATTAGTTCTATTCCGGTAAAAGACGTGGCCGACGAGCACAAGAACGTGTATCTGACCAAGCATCTGCTAGCGTTATAGTGTTTGGATTCGTGGCTTCCGATGGCAAAAAAAATTGATCCGGTGTTCATTCCAGAAGGTGACAAGGTCAACACGGAGGTCTACATCAGGATTTTAAGTAAGTATGTTCTTCCGTGGATCAAAGAACAGTACGGTCCGAAGCCAAATGTTGTATTTCAACAAAATGGGGCTCCGTGCCACACTTCGAACCGCACTCAGAAGTGGTTGCAGGAACATCTTCCGTTCTGGGCGAAGGATATGTGGCCGCCATCCAGCCCCGATCTTAATCCGCTGGATTACTCAATATGGCGCGTCATGAAGGCCAAGGCCTGTTCTAAACGCCTCCCGAGTACAGCAAGCCTCAGACAAACATTGACCCGTACCTGGAGAGAAATGGATCCAGACTACATTATTAGAACCTGCCGTGCATTCCGGAAGCGTGCGGAGGCCGTAATTGCACCGATCGATGATTAACATAGTTTAAGACTCTGAAAAACATCCCCCACTTGAATAAATAAAAAAAACTCGGAAACGAA